TACAGAGCCCCACTGGCAGGATCGAGCGGCTCGCTTGGCTTGATGTATGGTTGACCGCTGGCTTAATCACAAACTAAAAGTGGCACTATAGTATTGATAATCTGTGCGATGGTTTTCGCCACAATGTCCATTTCATTTGTTCTCCACACTCGCTATATCGCTACTGGTCAACCAATGATGGCAAATCGCCAACGCTACATTATTACTGTTGTTTTATTTCGCGTAACAGCGACAGTGCGTTCATGCCAAGATAATATAAAGCTGAAAATCTCGGCGTCACGATCCCTGGTGGCGTGTTTGTGACCGAGGCCGCAAGTGAAGATTTAATTGCAAACGAGGCTAAACAAGCTGCTCGTGTACTGGTCCTTCCATATACGCAGCAGTTTCGAACAGTTATTTTAGTGGTCTTATTCTGAGACGATCACTCTCAGTGACCATGTCGTTTTGCCACGGAACAGACACGACGGAAGTGTTTCGTGCTGAACACCTGAAAAAAAAAATTACCTGCACGCATTCCCTCAACCAGCCAATGAGCGCGTACTGAAAGCCCAATTATGGCGACATCTCCAACCCAGAACGCAGTTCCAGAGTGAACGCGGATATTGCCCCAAGTATGCTCATGATACTCGTTCTTTCTTTGCTCTGAAAATGCAGCGTCGTTTGGGTTCGCCGTCTAAAATGTTCGCTTTGTGATTGTTCCGTTCCGTTGCCGCGAGGCAAGTGTGACTCGCAGTTGTCACAGTAGGTATTCGACATGATCGTTGTTTCTATATCTACGTATCTTCTCACTCAGTATATCTTTATCCGGACCGAAAAGGATGGTGTCTTTGGCATCTGGAGTGGCCGGGCATCGAATTACGCTGAAGCCGCAAACAGCTAAGCGGCAACTGATGAAAAAAAAAAAAGAAAGAAAGAAGGAAGGAAGGATAACGAAATGTAAGGAAATACCAGTGAGCGCTCGACCAACCGGATCGGATTGTCGCATCCGCGCGTACGTGCGGGTCTTGGAAAATCGAGAGACTTCACTGCAGACAGCCGCAGCAACACAGCACGGCCTATAGCGATGACCGTTAATTCTACGCTTTCAGACGACGTCTCAATCGCGCACGCACCTCTTTTCTCGCTCAGCCCCCCGAAATACCCGCGACACGTCGCACATCACCGGACACACGCAAACACCGTCGTTTCAGCATAGCGACATCGACGCCACCTGCCGGCCCCGTCCACGTCACGATAGCGCGCGTTGGTGCTGGCGCGCGCCATGGAGCTTCGAGCTGCTTCTGGAGACGACGAGCGACAGAAGGGGACGGAGGGGGGACGCATCGGCGTTGTTATATACTTGCGCGACGCTACGACAAGTGTGCCGAACGACCGCGAAATGACGGGTTTCGGCGACGGCAAAATCGACGGTCCTTCTTCCAGCGGCCGACGAGCCCTTGGGAAGCGCCACGCCTCTCTCGTTGCCGCATCGCACGATGTCGAAGAAGGAACGCGGTTGTTCGGCCAACGGCTTCATTCAGAAGACATCGGCTCTAAAGCCATTATACGTCCGCCGTGTCCGATGCCGAAAGTTGTTATATACGAAGCGCGCGTGTGTGTACTCGGCGTAGTGACCGCAGCGTGGGCGTGCTTATACGATACGCCCACTGTACGTACGAGAGGGCACACCGGAAGGGGATGGCTTGCGTACGAGCGTCTGTCATTGAGCGTGCGTGCGCAATCGAACCAACTGCCGCATTGAGAAGTTGGGAAAATGAAAAAAGATAGACGAGACAGAGTATAGTGGCGGGTGGTGAATAGAAAGGGGCTGATTTTGGAAGGGGGCCTGGTACTCGAAGAGCTGGAAGTCCTGTGACGCGCACGTCGTGAGCCCCCGCGCCGATCCACGTTTTTTAAATTTTTTTTTACTTGAGCTTGTAATTGCGCTCTTGGGGCCGGGCGTTGAATTCCGCACGTATACTGATGCATTCTGCGTGTTTAGAAACGGTACGTGCCTGCAAATAAAGAGCGCTGAGTAGAAGACACAGGTATTCAAGTCTCTGGAGGAGAGATCAGGTCAAGAGTTTATGCTTAAGTGCGTTGTTTACGGTCGCCAACGGATACACACGAAATGCATCATCTCAAGCATTCCGCAGATATAATTAACCAGGCAAGCTGAAACGTGCAGCCCAGGTGTTCCTTACGGGCTGTATAGTATAACGAATAATAAGCGCCTTCTGTTTTATACCATTTCATTTCTCTGACGCCACATTTCAGAGAAGCGTGCTTCAAAGTTTGCGTTTGGTGATGACAACTAAAGGATATTAAAAACACCGAATTTTTTTACAGGAATCGATCCAACCTATAGTGAGCGCTCAAACCCTTTGAGGTATACTATCATTTTTTTTTTTTTTTGCAGTCACGGATCGCCACATATTCCAGCCTTCTAACTAGGTGCAGCTCCGGTGTAAAAGGACAACACGCACATCCAATAACAATGTTTCGAAGTAAGACACCTACTGGAAAGCATTGGCGGTAGCTCTGGAGTTCATACATATATGGTTGGGTCTACTCTATGTACAAGCAAAACTTTTCTGATGCTAACAGACCGATGAGTCAATCACCTATTTAGCGCCGTCTATCGAACCAAATGTCGGAGATTACGCGAGTGCAATCAATAATTTAAAGCATTATCAAGGGGAGATATGGGAGCCAAATATCCATGCAGTAACTACACGCAATAGTTCTACGCTTAGAGCTTAGAATTCGTCTACTTAAAGAAAGCCTATTTTGACATCACCACCTGATGAAAATTCACCACCGCTTAACTGCAAGTGGTTCCGCCGGGCTGTAGTTCTTTATTCCTATGGGCACAATGCATCTGTGTTCGAGGCTTTCGATGGCGGGCCTGATAAACACACCCAAAAATGAGTGTACAACGGACAGGAAGATAGAAAGCGCACAAACTATGGGGGTTACGCAAAAATAGAAGTGAGAGAGAGACCAGCAAGAAAGGTGTGCGCGCGCGAAAACAAAGTGAAGGGGAGAGAAGCTGGGAAGCCAGGAAGAGCGAGAGAAAAAATGAATAAACACGTATGCGTGTACGCAAACAAGGCGCACCGCGTGTAGATACGTGCGAGACTACACACGGGCACAGGCGCGCGGGCCGCTCCAATTAGCGCCGGCCAGCGAAGGAGAAGGAGGCGTTGCTCGTTAGGGAGCGCGCCTGAGCGAGCACCCATACATACATTTGTCGGCGACGCGCTCAGTATGCGCGCGCCGTGCGCGCGCCCGAAGCGACCACTTTCACGGCGCTGCCACAAAAGAGCCGCGGCGCTGGAGAGGAGGGCGGCAGGCGATAGCGATCTTTCATTAACGCCCGCGAGTTGATTAAGCGCCCCGCGCGGGGCCGCTCTGTGCGTAAGCGACCGCCGAGCATGTATATCACCACCACCCGCTGCGCGTATATACACACCTTCGCCCTGTGAACTCTCGTCGCCGCTGCTGCAACAGTGCAGTGTTTCGGTGGGTTTTTCATCGTGCCCGCTTGATTGCTCGCCCGGACGTCTCTGTTATGTTAGAAGAAAAGGGGGCCGCTCAAACCCTGGGCATTCCATCGGATCCGCCTCGGTTTTAATAGGTCTGCGAGCATTAGTTGTATGAGCTCGTTTGTACGTGCACCAGGCACCCACATACTACCCGGAGAAGAAGAGATAAAAGAAGAAAAAAAAACGAGATTATCTGCACGTAAGAGAGATCGCGGTGAGGCGAAGGTGCAGTGCCTATATAAGCTTGCTCCCGAGATTGCTGTAGCCACGCCCGAGTGAGGGTGCGCGTATAACATCGAGCGCATATCGCACGCTCCTGCTCGTTTAATCAGCGGTGCGAGGCGTCAGGGCTGCGGCCTAATAAGTGAAGACGTTAATCTCGGGAACCTGTGCGCACCGAAAGGCGCTCTCGTCGAAAGCGAGGTTCGCCGCCTTCAAACGCCGCCGACGCAGCATCTGGCAGCCAGGGAACGGGTGATCTGGTCGGTCTGGTTGTTCTGCCACGGAGCTTATGGAACGCTCACCGATCGGCTTGGGCATTCGCTTGGCTGTTCGGAACGGAATTGGTGGCTCTTGGTTTGCTTTCATATTTCAAAAGTGCAGAAAGTGCTTGTGAATGTTTTTGTTGCTATTGCTATAATATATATTTTTTTTCATTTCACCTAAATAGCATTCGTCGAAACTTCTTTAAAATTGTTTTCGTCGTCATTTTCTTTGTTTGTTTTCTCTCTTTCACCTTTCTTTTTGCGCAGTTCACTCATTTAAATTTAATTACTTTCGTACTAATATCATTTCATTGCTTAGAAGATGAATACCAATATACGGGAACATCTGGTACAGGATTAAGTTGCAGTACACTGCCTCTTCAGAAAAGGCTCCACTTTGACTTCTCTTACGACATTCCTCCTATGAACTACCTTCATTACGACTCGCTTCTCTGATTTAAAAACGTTTCGCTTGCTGAACGAACGTTTGGGGAGCACGGACTCTGCAGATATCGTGCATGCCGCTCCTGGCCCCCGTGTGTGCACGCGTACCAATGTTGAGAACCTTCAATATATTTGGGTATAAACGACACCTCGTTGTGAAAGTTACGTTGTAGTAACGCCCTCAGTCTCAGTGTACTTTGTTGTAGAGGCGTTCTTTGCCATCACATTCGCTGTAGAGGAGTCTGAAAGTACCCGAAAGTCCGTTGTACACAGCCGGTTTCCATGGTTCATGATTTCTTGTTGCGCTGTGGGTGACAAGATTAGGATGATACAGGGACAACAGAACAGGTGGTGCACACCACCTGCCTAGCAGTCCCTCTAGCGTCCTCGTCTCGTCAACCGCAGCGCAATAAGAAATCGCGAACCACCACCAACTATGTAGCCCAATTGATCACTGTGCTATCTCCGATGCAAATGGTTACATTTATCCATCCGAGATGTATGCGGGTGGCAGGCTGACAGTCGGCGGCGTCGCTGAACTTACCTTCGGAGATGAGCCTCTCTCGGATCTCCCATGCAAAGATGGTGGGGTTCTCCCGCTTGTACTGCTCAATCTTGGCCACCACGACGGGCGTGGCAACCTTGGGCTTGCTGCCGCCTATCACGCCAGGCCGCAACGAGCCGCCCTCGTAGTAGCGCCCCGCGTTCACACCGGCGGTGCACGCTACAAGAAAAACAAACAAACAAAAACACGATGTAATATCCACTAGACTCACCATTTGCGTACACGTGCCCACACCCAAACGACTCGGAAGAGGAATTTGCCAAATGTGTGAAAGTTGCGATGCCCGTAGGCAACTGATCGGCCAGGCGGCTAAGAATGTGTTGTCGATGAAATGACTTGTAGGACAAAGAACAGGATGGAATGGATAACACACTATCTCTTACTCACTGCGCTATCGTTGGGTTCGTACACTATAGCCCCTGCAAAACGCAAGCTGACTCAATAGCGAAGTACCTTGCTGCATGGTTCGCTCTTTGTGCCGTCCGTCAAGGAGGCGAACAGATCGTCGCCCCGATACCTTCACATCATGAGTGTATATGTGCGTGCGTTAATGGTTAATGTCATTCATAACAACAGAGAAAGGGTACACGAAGTCTTGATCTCGCGTCTAAGCAACGAATAAATTCGCACCTAAAAGGAAAGCGAGAGGTCTTTGCAGACGGAGATGAGGCGGTTGCCGGCGAGAAGAAAGTCGTTACGAGGCACACGCGTGACACGTGCGTGTGCAGGCGCAATTGTTTGCGTGTTGACTTCATGGCACTGTGTTTGCATATCTCGCAAACGCGCGAGAGGAAAGTGCCATTCGACCCCGTTGTGCGCGCAGCACTCTGAGAGAAACAAGGCACACTGGACGACGTGCGCCGGGTGGCGGTCTACCGGCCTGCACTCCACCCTTCTTGTTATGCAGATGAGGTCCGAACCTCGTGCAGCGCCACTGACCGCTCGGCGAGCACGGTGAATGCGGCGCGCTAACGAAGTGCTCGACGGCATAGAAAAGGGGCGAGGGTGGCGCTGTGTGTGTCGCTCGGGCACCCTTTTGCAGTGGCCCGCCATTCGTAATTGTTGCCGCGCGGCCACACAGATGGACGCCTTGAAGTGACCTATACCACCGAGCGCATCCTATATGCGTGCGCGGCTTTCGCTTCGCCGCATTGTCTTGCCACCCGAGAAGCAAGACATCCGAGATAGCGACCGCTTCCTTTGAGACGGTTGCATCAGAAGCAGGCATCGGCCGATTTTGATGTCTCTTTCGGGGGCCGCGCTGCTTCCGCTCGCGCTGCTCGACGCGAGCTTGCACGGTGCCTTTGATACGACCCAGTGAAAGCTAGTGGTCGGCGCTATATGTCTCAGCAATGAAAGCAATGCGGCCGTGCAACCGCTATGTGGGCCTCTGTGCCAACGGCGAGGAGGAAGAGGAGGAGGAAGAAAGTTTATGCGGAAAGACAGGGAGGTTAGCCAGTTCTTAGACCAGCTGGCTACCCTGTGCTGGGGAAAGGAGTGAGGGGAATGAAAGATGTTAAAAAGAAATGTTGCGAAGAGAGGGAGAAATTACAAAAAAAAAATTGCGTCAGAGGAAAGGCAACATCAAAAAGTATAAGACACTAAAGTCCGTCTCTGAGGCCAGTTGTCCGCAAAAAGCGCGGCAAAGCTGGGCCAGGCAGCGGCACTCAGGGCGAAATGCTCACCAAACCATTCGTCTTTGTGGTGCAGGTTGTGGCGACCATCTTCGGAACGGAAGCTGCTGAATATAAATCCGTTTTGACAGACCCATCACATGGCTGGAAGGAGCTTCACGGCATCGAGATTCCGCTGCGTGGTCACCGTTGTCTTATCGAAGAAGCCGCCCTTTCCTTAGTCCCGACTCCGACGCATGCGCCAACATCGGTGACGTCAGCAACCTCGGACCTTCCAACGGCTATAAGAAGCCACGTACCTCCGTCGAACTTCAGTGGGCCAGGCAGCGGCACTCAGGGCGAAATGCTCACCAAACCATTCGTCTTTGTGGTGCAGGTTGTGGCGACCATCTTCGGAACGGAAGCTGCTGAATATAAATCCGTTTTGACAGACCCATCACATGGCTGGAAGGAGCTTCACGGCATCGAGATTCCGCTGCGTGGTCACCGTTGTCTTATCGAAGAAGCCGCCCTTTCCTTAGTCCCGACTCCGACGCATGCGCCAACATCGGTGACGTCAGCAACCTCGGACCTTCCAACGGCTATAAGAAGCCACGTACCTCCGTCGAACTTCAGTGGGCCAGGCAGCGGCACTCAGGGCGAAATGCTCACCAAACCATTCGTCTTTGTGGTGCAGGTTAGTTCCTACTTGCCTACGCCATGTTACCGCAGTGAAAACCGCTTTTTAGTGTTGCTGCCACGCCCACTTGGTAGCTTTTTTTCATGCATTTGTGCTTTTGGCGTGGATTTGTTAGTTTGCGGGGATATTGAAGCAAACCCAGGCCCTTCAGATAAAGAAATACTGCAGCAGCTTCTTTCAGGACAAAAACACATCACTGATATGATGAACTGTGTCTTATCAAAACAAGAAAAAATCGAAAAAGAAGTTGCTAGCTTGACTGAAAGGATGAGTTCCGTCGAAATACAGACAAAACCTTTGATTGAACTGAAAACAGATGTAAACGACTTAAAGCAAAGAGCAACACAGCTTGAGAAAGACTTTGAATTCGCGGTCAAAAAAATTGACGAGTTAGAGAACAGAAGTCGACGAAATAACTTGATTGTTTTTGGCCTAGGGGAAGAAGCTAATGAAACGACTGCTGACCTTACTGAAACAATAAAAAAGGACTTGTTTGAGGGAAAGCTGGGAGTGAATGTCAGGGGCATAGAAAGATGTCACAGATTGGGAAAAAAGAATGGCAAAAAACGCCCAGTAATTATAAAAATACTCGATTACCGAGACAAGGTAGCTATTCTGCAGAGGTGTTCCAAGCTGAAGGGCACCGAGCTGTCGATAAGTGAAGACTTTTCCGCTCGTGTACGTGATATCAGAAAAAAGTTGTGGCAAAGTTCGTCGCGCGAGCGTGCAAGTGGATCTAAAGTGAAGTTAGTTTTTGACAAAATAAGCATTGATGGAAAGTTTTTTTGCTGGGATGATAATAAGAATACAAGATATAAGTTATCTAACCAAATTAAGGTTCGGGGAAACTAGATGAACGATGCTTAGTGGTGTTAAATGTAAATTGCCGCAGTATTGTTAATAAGGCTGAGAAGTTGGAAGGCATGCTTTTAGCACATGACCCAGATATTGTATTACTAACTGAGACATGGCTACGAGATGATGTTTTTGATAGTGAGTTTGTGCCGAAAAATTACAGAGTGTTCCGTAAGGATCGAAATGGGAGGGGAGGGGGCGTTGCTATTCTTTTTAGGAATAATACACGTGTCGTAAAAATGCCAGACGTTCAAGACATAGAAAGCATCTTCTGTAAAGTGTATATTGGCAATATTAAATATCTTCTTGGTGTCGTTTACAGGCCACCAAATGCTTCCCTTGATGTTATCGCAAAGCTTAAGGATTACCTTCATTGTCACGTAAAAACCGAAGATAAATTAATCATAGCGGGAGATTTTAATATGCCAAATATGAATTGGGAAACGTTTATATCAGACCCATGTCAAGCTGCGGATACTCAAATATCCGATATCATGTTTCAATATGATTTGACGCAAATAGTCACCGACCCTACCAGAATAGATCAGGGGACGAAATCTATCCTAGATATATATCTTGTAAGTGGCAATATAAGAGAAAGCATGTTGTGCAGCGTCACAAATGGCATATCGGATCACAAGGCTGTGGTACTAAAGCTAAAGGGAGTTGAACTTAGTCAGCAGAGGATGGTGAAGAAATTTCCCAATTTTTCAAAAGCAGATGATGAATCTATAATTGATGTTCTGGCCTTTGAATATGATCATTTCAATGCAAGTAATCGTAGCGTTGAAGATCTGTGGCTTTGCTTTAAGAGAATGATTGAAGATTGTGTGCAGCGTTTTATCCCTTTAATTACAAAGAAAGTAGAGAATCACAATCCCTGGATAACAAGAGAGACGTTACAGCTGAAGCGAAAGTTGAAACGGTTAAAAAAAAGGTCGAACAAGGCTAACAGTCCTAATTTAAAAACAACTATTTGCAATATACGTGAAGAAATTAAAGAAAAATCTTTTCGTGACAAAGAAAAGTATTTTAACGAAAAATTGCCGTCATTTATTAAAACGTGTCCAAGAAAATTTTGGAAAGAGGTCACTCCGGGCACGTGCTCTACCGATGTATTTCTTTTAGATGGAAAATTAGAGAGTGATGAAAAAGCTGTCTGTACGGCCTTTAATAACTATTTCAACAGCGTCTATACAAAAGATAATAATCATCTCCCACCTTTCGATGCGAACCTACCACCAATATCAGATGTCACTATTTCTGAAGAGGGTATCTTTAATTTATTGCTAAATCTGGATGTTAAGAAATCTGTTGGACCAGATGAGATACCGAATGCCTTCTTAAAACGGTACGCAGAGTGGTGCGCGAAATATTTGTGTGTGTTATATACTAGGTCTTTGAACGAAGGTGTACTCCCTGAGGACTGGAAGATTGCTCGAATTAAGCCTCTACACAAAGCAGGTGATAAAACTCAAATAAAGAATTATCGACCAGTTTCGTTAACCTCTACAGCTTGTAAAATTCTCGAGCACATAATTCACAAACAGATTGTTACATTTCTTGATGAACACAAAGTACTAACAAAAGCGCAGCATGGATTTAGACGTGGATATTCTACCACTACACAGCTGGTTGAAACCATCCATGATTTTGCTACCGCACTAAATGAAGGTGAACAGCTAGATGCCATTTTTATGGACTTCCAAAAGGCCTTTGATAAAGTTTCACATAAAAAATTACTTCATAAATTGCAATATATCTTGAAAAATCCGAAACTTATAGTATGGATACGAGCGTATCTTGAAAACAGGCAACAATTTGTTTCATTTAATGACAGTTGTTCCAGCAAACTTCCTGTGGATTCCGGCGTACCTCAGGGCTCGGTCCTCGGACCTCTTTTTTTTCTATTATACATAAATGATATAACGAATGACCTTTCTGTAAGTGTAAAGCTTTATGCTGATGATTGTGTATTATACACGAAGGTATCAACTGCTGGAGATCAGATAAGGCTCAATAATCAATTCAACAAGGTCGTCTCTTGGTGCCAGGAATGGCAAATGTCAATTAATTACAACAAAACTGTTTATATGAAAATAACACTGAAGAAAAATCCTTTATGTTATCAGTACGGCACAAATAGCGTCAATCTTACAGAAGTTGCAGAATACAAGTACCTTGGAGTATGGATAACTAATGATCTAAACTGGAACAAACACGTCGATATAACTACAGGTAAATGTCTACGGAAACTTTTTTTTCTAAAGCGATCCTTAAAATATTCTACCCCGTCTGTACGCATGTTGGCATATAAAACACTCATTCGTCCAATGTTGGAATATGCTGTAATAATATGGGATCCATTCACTAAACGTAACATTAATCAATTAGAAAAAGTGCAGAACAAGGGCTTACGTTTTATTTATAACTCCTACGGTAGAACATCCGTATCTGAATTATTGGTAAAAAGCGGTCTGCAACCCGTTGTGGACAGAAACCGCACTTGCCGGCTTAAGTTTTTCTATCAATTAATAAATGGTCATTTAAATGTTGACAATGCAGGCATTCTTCGGTATTCTTCCGGTTACGCAACTCGCAAGCGACATAGTAAAACGATAACTCCTTTACCTTCACGGATTAACTGCCACAAGTATTCGTTCTTCCCTAGAACTATTAATGACTGGAATAGCCTGACAAATGATGTCGTTTTACAGAACAAACTGTCATTGTTTGAAAACAGCATCGCCTAAACCATCACTACACATTGCATTGTATTATTTGTTTTATTGTAATTATTGTGTTAGTCTATAACCCGTATTCTACGTGTTACGTTCTTATGTGTTATGTTACTCGAAAAATTTGTTGAAATAAGCGTTTGTGAACCTTCGCCTTGTATATTCAAATCGTACGATTTATTGTGTTTTCATTATTTTTTTTTTGTGTATGTACCGATTCTCGAACATTTTTTTCCCACCCTGCCATGATCTTTCAGCTGAAGGATCGCAGTATTTATAAATAAATAAAAAAAAAAGCCTTCTGGGCTGAGGATGGGCTCGGCCAATGACCCAGAATCCTTTGTTCCGACAAAGGCTGATCGTCTAGTCTATCCAGAGCTGCAGTGAGTTTTTGTCTTTGCAGATTGAAATGGGTGCACTCACACAGAAGGTTCGCGATGATTTCTTCGCAACTGCAGTAAGTGCATGTAGGAGAGCTGGCCATTCCAATGAGATACGAGTATGCGTTCGTGAAGGCCACTCCAAGCAACAGGCGGCATAGAAGAGTCGAGATTGTCCATGCGGGAAGCACCGACTGCGCTTCGGATCGTCATGCGTCTGCCTGCATGCGCTCTCCCTGAATTCGTTGATCATTTCTTCCGGGAAAAAAGTCGTCGATCGTTTACATGACACGGGCGAACTAAGAGCGATATTCCACCACAGTTTGCAATACACCACCGCTTACGCACGAGAATCAATCATTACGTGAAATGGTTTCTATATTACCTCTGTATACGAGTCAGACGGGACAACGTCTTGACCCTTTAAGTTAGTAATTCTTATCACACTCTCAATTTATTTTCTGCCATAAAGCTCTTTGCCACAAGTGCACATGTTTTGCCAGAGCTGCTTAAGTTTAATTTATTTATTTACAATACTGCTAGCCCTTGCGGGCTGTAGCAGGGGTGGGAGGTGAACAGGTGAACAATACACAAACAATGTTAGGCAAAAAACAAGTCCAGCCGTCGTTGAAAATCCTGCGAGGATCTACATCCTGTAAGTACCTCGGGAGGAAGCGCATTACAGTCAACAATAGATCGCACCAGAAACGAAAACTTAAATACATCCACCCGCGGTACATAAGCTTGGACAGAAAATGAGTGATTGGTACGAGCCGACACTCAATGCCTGCTACTAATTGTCAATTTTCTAATAATTGTCAATTTTCTTCCGGAATTAAAAAAAACTATACTTGATAATGGCAAATCGCCCTTATACTGTGCGATAGCTGCTTGATCGTCCGTGGCCGATACATGAATCAAAGATCCGATCACGGCAGGTGCTATATGCAGATTCAGAGAACGAAAAGAACGCTTATTTCTGCAGCACATTAGGGATCACGGTGAAGCGTCAAGGTGCTAAGTGCGAGTGAATCCTCTTGCTATCTTTCTATGTGTCTTTTCACGTGGCACCACACTTCAGAATAGAAGAGCCAGTTGTCAAATGGCGAGCTTGGTGCCTCAGTGGCGCCTCATCTGTCGTGATCGAGGGAGGCATGTCGATCAATTCACTTGCACAGCACGCGTCCTTCATATTCGTGCATACGCTATAGTGAGAGCGGCGCTTATTTGGCAAGGAGTACTCGGTGAAGATGACTGCGAGAGATGGGGTAAAAGCCGGGACCAAGCACGCTGCGTGCAAGGACGTAAATGAAGCAGCAGGAGCCTTTCTGGAAGACAAGCGCGAATTCTAAGGCAGCATCAGTAGTCAGTGGCACGTTCGATTGGGCCGGGTTCTCCAAAAGATCGGCGATGCTCCCGGCACCGGTTGCTGCGTAGTTACGTGCATCGCCGTCAACGCCTGAGTGCTAGCACACACAAGAGCGATGACCATGGTGTGCGGAGCGCAACGTGTCTGCACTGAGCAGCCCACCTTATGACCATAAACTTTCACCAGTGCACAGTGTAATGTATACCAGACTCCCAACGCAAATCATTGGAGGCGGGCACGCAGTACTGTCCACACAGCTTCTCTCTTTCTCTCTCTTCGTGAGGTTCCCGAGAAGCGACAGGAGAGGAAATGATACGCGCCGACATCTTCGCCCCTTGGCGGCCCATCTTGTTAAAAGTATCGGGCATACATCTATAGATGCGATGCGCCCAGCTCTCGGTGCTCTGCGCGGAACTGCGGGGAATGCGGCAGGCGGTAGCCGCGCCATCGGGCCTTCGGCCACTGCCGCGCCGCGATTTACGACTTGGCGGCGCCGCGTTGCTGGCGGCCTGGTCTGCTATCGCGTCTCTCATCGAACCTCTGCGCGACCACCTCGCCACGAAACCCGGCGCGCATGTGACGCTCGTCGCGTCCGCGTGGAAATGCACCCGTCCTCGCTTTTGTGATGGGCAAGCCCCCCCCCCCCCCCACCCCCCCCCCACCCAGGGTAGGGGGGGGGGGGATCGGAACGGCGGTAGGTAGTCCGTACGTGCATGAATGCTTGCGTACGTGCGCTGTAGAGGGAGTGCGAATGCACCGATGTGCCCGAACTGTTGCTGACTGCACGGGGGCAAGTTTTCTCTCAAATGAAGCGCGGTTTCCTCTCCGACGAAGTGTTATCGGTGCTTTCGAGAGTGAACAGGATTAATTAAGAGCGCGACCCTTGAGAAGGAGGGACGCCGCCTGAGAAGCACGCCAAAGGTTGTTTTGGATTTACGACCCTATCTTGGACGTCGTAAACTCGGAAGAGGGCAAAATGGCTATACGCCGCGGTTACCGTGGAAACACGGCGCTTGAATGCTCCCGTGGGAGCCGAGAAAATGCCCACGGCAAGGATCGATTTGTCTTTGAGCATTTTATCTGCAGTGACAGTTGGAGAGGTGTTATAAAACCGACTATCCGCGGCCAGGAGGCAGCCTCATTTGCCTATCTGCTCGCTTTTAAGAGACGCTTTCTACTTGATTTTATTATATTGCGAAAATCAGATAACAAAAGCAGTGTCTCCTTTTACGCAAGTTATATCCCTTGTGCGTGATATATTTAGCTTATATACGGTGGCATTGGACAGTCAAACTTTAAAGTTCTATAAAGCGAGTTGTTTTAAAATAAAGCTTGAGCACCTTTCCCCTTGTGTAGTTTTCATTGCGAACCGTGGCCAGCTAAGGTTCTTCCTATTACAGCCCGCTGATAACACAGCCGTGTGTGTAAAGAGAAAAGTACAAACAACTGAATGACATATTGGGGGGTCACGCTGGCTCGAGCCAACACGAGAGTTTCAAAACACCATCACTTACGAAACGACGCAAGTAAATTCATGTATGAAAATGCATGTGCATAGACGCCCGAACGAGGGTTACAAACAGAGCTCCTAACAGAAGCAACAGGTATATATGTGTTTTATTGCCCCTAAATACTTGTTTTGGGGAAATCGCGTCTCTGCCTGGTGTATATCATGCATGCGTTTCTAATACAAGCGCACGCGTTGTGCATGCACTTACCAAACAACCTATGTAAAATATATGGCGTAGAAAGTATAGCGAAACTGTTATATAGCGTAGAAACTTAATGGCCATCTAACCGGAGAATCGATTCTATATACTCACCGAGCAGCTTACTGACGGCGCTCTGCGAGGACAGCAAGTGCCGGGCGAAGTCGTACGGTCTGAGCGAGTAGGGTGTCAGGTCGGGCAGAACGCGACCCGCGGCCATGGCGGCCTCTCCGCCGCCCCCGGCCAGACGCGACGATGCCAGGTAGACGGGACCCAGGGCCGCCGCAGCGGCCACTGCTGCCGCCGCCGCACTGCCTCCGCCACCGCCTGCAGCGTGACAAGAAAGCGGCACATGTAAAACACCCAAGTATATACATCGTTAAACTGCAATATGAAGAAGCAGCTAAAACCAGCAATTTAGTTCGTTATATGGAAACTTCATTAAATTGATAGTCAACCTTTTAAGCGAAATACGGTTGTAACAGACTTCGTTCTTGCACGGGAAGTAGCGACAGAATATTTAGATAATACAGCCATATACAAAAAAAAATAATTTCAATAACCCGAAAAAAAAAAAAAGTGTGCTTGAACCTGGGATACGGTGACCGCAGGTATTATGCTAGCAAAGAAGTCTGCTTCATAGTATCCAAACGTCAAGCGTGAACCCGAAAGAAGTGCAGATCCAACTCACTGAGGTAATGTTGATTAAGTGGTCGTTGAAAGAACTTGCAGCTCAAATATCTTGCGACTGGACCCAGCGGGTGTTTCGATTTATCGCCTCTGTCTTTCTCTAGGGCAGCACTGAAACTTCGTTAGTATATTGAAATAACGTATAACATCCTTCGTTGTATCGAGGCCCTAAATACATAGTATTATATGGGAATAACGTTGCGAAAAGTGAAATACTTCGCTATATTGAGAATTTCGTTATATTAAAGTTTGTTATGCCCGAGATTAAGCAGCACATACAACAAGACAGTGACAAAAAAAAAAGAAGGTGATTATGGAAATTGATTTCGCTTGACTGTGCGTCATTACGTGCGAGAAAGAACCGGGAAGGAAGATACACTGGGGAAAAATCGACCGGTGCCAATGCATTCTCTCAATTTAAGAAAGCTTTTCGTTAAGTAATAAGTAGTCACCTGTATGACCTATTCGCGAACTTCCTGAAATGTTGTGATACTCTACTCACACAACTGCAACAACAATGTACAAGCCCAAATGAAATCCTGTTCTTTGATGCCCTGTTTTTTGGCACACGATGACGGAAAGTTCTAGGTCGAACATTTTAGGTGTTCTTCCATATTCTGAAATTTCAGCCTCAAGTGGAAAAAAAAAATAATCTAGGAATAAGTACGTTGTATAATTGACAAATGCACGCTGACAAATGTACAAAAACTTCTGTCAGACCGTCTTACGCACATGGGCTTGTTCGAACGACGTTTTATCACTTTAACAACTATAGCTGAAGACCGGCGTTTTCATTCTGATCGTCACGACGTGGCTTCATTTACCATCCACCAAAGGCTTAGGCCTTAAGGCAGTTACGTAACATCGAAGTAACTACCAGCGGCTTTCGTGTTATGCGATTGGATTAGGCAATCGTGTCTGGACTGAACGAGGGTGCAGCAGTATTGCAGGACAGCGGTGAGACGACGGCGAGAAGTGAAACATGGCAGGCAGCGTCCGACAGCCTCATTTTTTTTTTTGTCGTTCTTGTATAACTATCTTTTTCTCTTTTTTTTCAATTACTTTCACGAGAACACGTAGGGGCAAGCCGCCTCGGGCACTGCTCCTCGCGAAGACACGACCGGAAACCGAACGCATGATGATAAGTGTCCGCTTCGGTTCGTCGCCGTCAACCAGCGCCATCAGGTGTGCGTTGCTGTCGCCTTTTTCAAAACGTGCCATCGAAGCAAGCAGGCGCGCGCGCGCGCGATCTGCCGAGAGAGAGAGAGAATCGCTGGCAATGGATGCCACCGCGTCCCTTCTGGAAGACGCCTTCCTCCGGAAATGGTTCCGCGGTCTTCCGAGGGGGCTTTCTTTTCAATTTGCGCCGTCGTCCTGCGGCTGCTACGGCCGCGCCCCTTTTCTTCGACGGCTGCCGCGTCGACACCGTAGAGCACGGATGGAGCGAAGAGGTGGCTCATCGTCTCCGCAAGAGCCCGTTCCGTCTACAGGCAGACGCCGAGCCTGTGCTTTAGTTCCGCTTGGAGCGTCGCGGTCGCGTCGTTGCCACATTTCACCGCTTGAGCGCGTGCCCCTGGGTACACCGCTTCGAGTGTACGTGCGGGAGAGAGGACATTACACACGTGCGCCTATATGGACGAGCATAAGAGTCATGCTGTTGGCCGTCTGCCGCTCGTATATATACTGTGTGCGCGCCTGCGCGAGCAAGCTAGCGCGTAACGTGTCTTTTTTTTATTTCTTTTTCTCCCTTTGGTTTGCCGTAAGTCAGTACTCACGCTGTACATTAGAGCCTTCCGGTTAAGATTGCTGTTAGGACTTCCGTTCGCTCCGTGTCTGCAGGCTGATGCGACCACAAAGGCGTCGCGCGAGCATTGTGAGGTTTCGGGGCACGCTAGTGATAGAAAGAAAAACAGTACCGTGCAAAAAATACTATCGGCTCGCACAGCAAGGACACGATGCAACTGCACTCCTGCACTTGTAAGTTTAAGAACAACGCTACACGCTTCTCCGTAGCGCACCGACTGCAGGTGAAGTGTTCATCTGGTCGTGCAGGTACTCTGTGTCTAGAAGGAGCAAACCTCTGGGAAGCCCGAGCACAAAGACAGTCTCCTCTTGACCGCGTTGAAGAGTTAATTACTCGCGTGGACTTTCCGAACAGTGTGCAAGGAAGTCAGTGCCACGCATAATTTTCATACTTTCGTCGAGAGACCGGTTAATCGATTCGTGCGGATAGATAATTATGACATTGAGAAAGACGAGACTGTACAGTGACCTGGCTAACACCTTGCGAGTCTCCCCCCTTTTATTTTTTGTTTTTTTTGCCTTCTCATACCAATTTGCGTGTGCACATGCGTGTATGCGCGATTGCGAACTGAAGTGGCTGCACTCAAGGTATACTGTCGCCCCCCCCCCCCCCCGAGATCGCTAAGACGCAAGAATTCTACAGCCTCAAAGGCGTCCTAGTGTATGTAATAGCCCCTCGATGAAAGCGATGTCTGCCCGTGGGGCATAGAGAGGGGGTGCGAATGAGCGTCCACGAACAAGCACGGAGCAGAGTTTGAACGGTGCTATAGTACACCATATATAGCGGTGCTGTTCAAACAGAATCTCATCTTTCTCGTGAGACCGTGACACTCGCCTAATAAAGCGTTACCAGCACCTCAGCGCGCGATTGCCGTAATAACGAGACACAGCGCATAATTTGAAAAAAAAAAAAACGCGTCCTGTATTTCACACTGTCATCATGAAAAAAGAAACGCTGTCCGAACCATCGAAGGAACCATCAATCTTATCTCAGCCATAGCGCTATCGGCGCTGCTTATTAGATCAGTTTAATTCCTTCGCCCTTTTTGTCACCCTGAGCGAAAAAGATTTCATGCTGCTGCAGCAGCAAGCATTACAAAAATGATAAATAAATAAATAAGATAAATAATAACCCCAGAACCACTGGCAGTGCCCAACTCGGGTAGGGCAAAACGATACGACTAACTAAAACGGTGCTGTTCGCATGCGTTGGGGGGGGGGGGGGGCATCCGCACGAGCACACACACGGGCATTCGCGCAGCAGCATGCGAGAGCAGATTGATTGCAGTGCCACAAGCGCCCGCGAATACGCACCTTGTCGCGGGTGCGTATCGCGCGATAAGACCGTTTGTCGCCCCCTCCTCGTTTAATGACCGCGTCGCCAGCACGCCCATCCCGCGGTCAGCGGCTCTCATCACCAGCGACACTCCGCCCATGGAGCCTGCTTAAAAGAAAAGCCCGTCACTGCTCTCTTCTACACATTTGCTTCGTTGCTGTTTGTGTTGTCGTGTTTCGGATGGTCAGTCGTGCCGAGAGGACCGCCACCTGTAATTTGGGTGTCCCCGCGTGGTTTTCCAGCCCTCGGCAGCGGCGGCGGTTATGGCGGCTCGCCTTCTTTTCCGTTTATACGAGAGGCGCCCCCCCTTTAACTCGTGTAGTATACATGTCCAGCTATATTTATACGCGCGCGCACCCGCGGCAGGGAGTGTGTGCATGCATGCAGCAGCGGCATGCAGGGACAGTTCCCAAAGGCAACGACGACGTCCCGCGGCAATGCTGCGTGTCGATGTCCATTCCGGGTGCCCCGTTCCTGCTTAGCGCCCCTGCTGCAGGCCCCGATCTGGTTCAGCTAGGCGCCAAAGAGACGCAACGGCGGGGGTGGCCCCGGGCCAAAACATGACACGCCTGTCGACAGGCTTACGCCATGGCGTGCGCGGTGACCGTTTCTTGTTCGCTTCATTTCCTCGTCGTGTCCTTCTCTTTAGTTTGTTTTATTCACCGTGACACGCGCATGACCCAATGATTATGCAGGCTTCGGATAGCGGTCTAAAATGTGCCCGCGTGTGAACTAAGTGACGCAACATCTTTGAAAGGCAGAGCGTGGAGCTAACTGATCATTTGCCTTAGATTTATTGCATAAACCCCGCCGCAGTAGCCACAACATAGTCTTGTGGCTATGGGGCTCAACTGGCGACCCGAAAATCACGTGATCGAGTCATGGCCGTGGCTGGCGCATTTCGATGGATACAAAAGACTATAGAGGCCTTTGTATTTCGATTTAGGTGCGCATTAACAAAAGACTTGATGGTCAGAATTTCCGGAACCCCTGACTACGGTGTCTCTCATAATCATATCGGGGTTTGGGAGCTTGAAACCTCGACAATTATGTACAGATGTATTGCATAGGTATCACAAATGAAGGTAATTGAAAGCTATATAGGGTAACTGTGAGTTTTCAAAGTTGGCAGAAGAGAACTTGCACACTCGATCTGAAATAAAACACAATGCGCAGTGAGTGCCTATGGTAGATGAGAAGAGTCGTGCTAGAGCCTTGTAATTAAATCTTCTTGTGCGCCTATAAAACAATGAAATGTGAAGGAAGAGAGGAAATGAGAAATAAAGTAAAATGTGATAGGAGTCTCATAAAATTACATGCTCAATGTATCCACGGCAGGCCTACAGCGGACATTTATACCCGTATGAAAGGATAAGATATGCGTGAATTCCCCGTAATTTCTATATAATAATTCGTTAAATACCTTCCAGAATGCACAATTTTTTCCAACTCACCCAAACAACAATAGTCTCAGAATACCCTTCTACTTCAGTGATTT